TTCCAAATCAAACATGTACCAAAACACTGGAAACTCACAGCAACTTGATCACTGTTCTGTCAAACCCAAGAATTCCCTCACGACAGACAGTTCAAGTGTTACCTACTCCAGGAAGCCTTCCTTGATCTCACTCTGATTTACATACTTCCTGCTCTCTTTACCTTCACATAATATACTGCATTCGCCTCCTTTGTACCATTAAACATATTACTTTATAATTACCCACTTGTACATCTGTATCTTGTTAAACTGGGAGCCCTCCAGGAAGGAACAGGGTCCAGTTAGGAAGCACCCTCACTGCCTAATGCAGTTCTTAACTTGAGGGCTAGTCCTCACTGTATGTTTGCAGAGTGAATAAATGAACAGTTGGCATTCATGATACTGGCCTTCCAGCGGGACGCAGGAGAATGCGGGCAGCCTGGCTCCCTGTGGCCCTGGGTTCCCAGCATTCCCACAAGTCCAAAAGCCGAGCCTGAACTTGGCTTCCGTGAAAGACCCACAGCTTGGGAATCACCTCCAGCCTGAAGGAGTGTCTTTTGTGGATCCCATGTCTAATGATCCTGGAAGTTGTTGCAAGGTTTAGAGACTGGATTAATGCTAATTTCTTTGTTTCAACATGATTTCATCAGAGGAAATTATAATACGTGCAGGTAGAAACACGCGGGGTGATGCGGGCCCAGCTGGGTGCGAAGGAACTGCCAAGCGGGGGCCGAGGTCTATCTTGGTCTGCATGAGGCAGCTGCAGTGGCCTTTCCCATCACGAAGGGGCAGCTTCAGATGAAGCATCTATCTTTCAAAGAGTAGAAACACCAGTTTTCAGAGGGCTTTTGTGTTCACGGAGGAGAGTCTTTTCCTTATTAGCAGGGCAATTGTCCTTCTACTTTACTGTCCCGTACTAGTTCAGAGTAATGAGTTCTCCAGCATTTGAGCTGCAGACATGGCTGCAGGATTTTTCTTTAAGAACACTCAGACAGTGTTAAGTTGCACATAAGAGAAATAAACCATCTCAAGACATCACTTCCTGTTGGAGCCTCGATGTCCCCCCTGCCTGGGCCTGTGTTGCATCAGCTTTACCTGACTCGAGGGAAGCGCAAGGATTCAGCTGATACTCAGCAACTTCCCTTCAGAAGTGAACACCAGTCGTGTGAGTCTGCTCATCACAGTACTTGCAGGATTGATTCTAATCAAGTATTTTATGTCTTTGGTTTGTTTCTAAGGTGAAGCCAGCCCTGCCATGACCATGACCTGGCAAAGAGGGAGCCATGTGACCACGTCCGCAGAGCACCCAACCTCCCTAGAGGCTGAGCTGCTGAGGCCCCGGTTCTGGGGAGGAGCAGGGCGGGCAGGAGCGACCTGTGCAGGGACTGAGAACACCCACACCGCGTGTGAGTCCTTCTCAAGATCACACGGGTGCTTTACCAGTTAACAAAATCACAGGCATGGAATCATAACTACAAATTAGTACATGTAAAAGAGAGCTGAGTCTCTTTAACAACACTGGGAGGCAGTGTAGACCACGCCGAGCAAAGCAGACTAGAAAGCTGGACCTGAGACAATGGGGGACTCTTAGGGGCCATGGGTCCCACCCTTTCACCTCCGCCCCCTGGGGAACCTGAGGTCCACTGGCTTGAAGTGACTTGTCCCAGGCCACGCAGCTTGCACAGGCGAATGCGAGAGGCCAGGGGCCTCGCTCCGAGCGTAAGCTCTTTCTACAACAGGAGCCTCTGTTTTCTTTGTCTTTTCATTTCTTTGCCACTGCTCTGTGTCAGGACCATACACAAAATACAGTCCATTTTTCAGGGGTAACAACTGGGTATTACCAAGCCACCTGCTCAGAAGGGCCTCTTCTGACCAGCCAACCTACAGCAGACCACCAAGCCCAATCCCTGTTTTATTATGATGATAGCACATGTACTTTCCTGTTCATTTTTCTTCACCCACCCACACAGTAGTGTAAGCGCTATGAGAGCAGGGCGCTCCTCTGCCTCATTCAACCCTTATTTCCAAGTCTTACAATGCAACATGGCATTCATTAGGTTGCTCAGTAAATGCCGAATAATGATGGAACAAGTCAACAACGATACATACCAAGGTTTCTGCATTCCTAAAACAAGGAAGGAGGTTGAGGGGAAGAGTAGGAATACTATCATTCATAATTTACTGAAATCCTTATGAATGCAAATCTTAGCTCCTGGTTGCTCAAGAAATCTCATCTAATGTCTCCTAGTGCTGCTCTCCAAAACAGGACGGTGAGGAGGACAGGTGAGGGGGACAGTGACTTTGAAGGCTGAGGGGTGGGCCCAAGGGCATCACTAGAGACTCCGAGCACATGAAGCCCCACCGTCGGTAGCCTCGCCTGGCAGCTGGTGGGAATTTTCTCTTGACGAGGGTAGGGGACACTTTATTATGTTTTTCTGGGACAGATTAGAGAGGATTAGAGACAGATTAAAGTTAAGGTTTTCTAAAGTTAAGGTTTAACTTTAGAAAAGAAAAGAAAGCACAATGATAACTGTGACTTATGTTTAAAGATGTTTGGGATACAGTCTAGGACAAAAATATACTTAGTTTAATCTTCTAATCCAAAATGCTACGTGATGTTAATCAATAAGGACACAAAATCAACTAACAAACTTTGAAATATAGAAGTACATTTTCTCATAACTTTTAATGCAAGTAGCATTGAAGATTTTGATGCAAAGAGAAGATGGAATAAATCAGTGAATATCAGCCCTCGGCACATAGCACTTTGGAGGGTCTTCCATTTAGAGGAAGAGCAGAGAAGGAAGGCCTGCTGTCCATACCTGTATTCACTAATTAAAAGGACAACATTCTTTCAAAAAAAAGGCAAAAACCCCACAAAAGCTTGTGTATGTGACTGTTACTACCATCACTTCTATTACGGTGCCATGAGCTTCTAGGGGCAGGGATCAAGTCATCTCTCTGTTCCTAATAACCAAGCCAGGAGGCCTGTTTATAGTAGGTCCTTAAACAATAGCCACTGGGTAGAATTAAACAAGGGCATCTGTGATATTTTGGGGGTACCGTGTTTGGACACCGAGATGAAGGGATGATCTTCTTCGCACTTGGAGAAAAGCCTGCCACTCAGTACTAGTTTAGGAGAGTTCTGAGAGCATGGAACTATGGGAATGGAGTTCTGAAGAAGCCGAGGAATCCGAGTACGATCGGGAAGCTGCACAGATAGAGGGTACCTGAGCCAGGGCTCAGAGAGGGTGATGACAGAAGGCAGGCTTCAGTGGCCAGAAACAACTGCAGGTGGCAGGTGTCATTTCCATTTCATAGATGAGAAAAAGGAAGCTTAAAAAGCTGAAGGAGATTGCCCAGGCAAACTGTGGGTTTAAAATTCAGATCTAGCCCTGGTCAGGTGGCCCAGTTGGTTGGAACACTGTCCCATACACCGAGAAGTTGAGGGTTCGATCCCCAGACAGGTTGCTGGTTTGAGCCCCTGCTGGCCCTTGTATAAGAGGCAACCAATCGAAGTTATTCACATCAATGTCTCTGTCTCTCTCCCTTCCTTCCTCTTTCTCTACAATCAATGAACATATCCTCAAGTGGGGATAAAAAAAAAAATTCTGATCTATTTGGGACTCAAACCTCTCCTGGCTCATTTTGGGAAAGTTCATTGACATTTCACCACCAAAATTCAGTTCTAAAGATTAAGTAGGAGTCACCTGGTTCTAGTCAAGTACTAAATAATGTGCAGGCCAGTGCTCACTTGCAGACACGCTGCAGATGGACCCCTTCCTGAGGCAGAGGACAAGGGCTTTCCAAGCACAGGGCAAGTGTGCAGCGGCCTCCACCGACCAGGGGGACTGCTGATATTTCCTGCTTGGACTGAGCACAGGACTCGTAAGGTGAGTGGAGAGCAAGAGAGACTGAAGGCAGAACTCTGAGGAGAGGGTTGAGGTGGAGCTTGGCTAAGTGGTTTGTATTTCATCCTTCAGACGGTGAAGAGCATGGACTGTTTCTAGTCAGTAAGAGACCCAATCAGTGTGTGTTTTAGCAAATCCCTCTGGGGGCTGGTAAGGAAGTCTGGAGGCAGGATAATGATCCAAAGGCTGTTAAATAATCCGGATGGAGAAGTCTGCGCTCCTGAGATGGGCCGAGCGTGAGAGGAAAGCCAGACAGACCCCAGAGACAGAACTGACAGGACCTGGATGCGGCTGCTAGAGAGAGAGTAGAATCCAAGGTGGCTCCTTGGAAAAGAATTGTCACTGAGAAAAAGTGCAGACACTGTGGGTTCAAAGCTTAGCAAAGACCGTATCAATGCACAATTCCCAGGCTCCCTGGGCTGGTGGTTACGTGGTCAAAAATAAAATTAGAACAAAAAGAAATGAAATAAATATTACTTATAAATACTAGAGAAAGATCTAGCAATGATTACGAATAAAGAAAAAACTTCAGAGCAAAACACAGTTAATCAAGTCAGTAGTCCCCATGCCATATTTTTAAAAAATAAAAGATAAAAAAAAATAATAAAGCATATCTTTCTTTCTCACTAGAATCAAATAAATTACTTTTAAGCTTCTATAGATCATCTCAATTGAAAAGAAATCTCTACAGAGCAAAAAGCGCTGAGTCCTGAGATAGAATGGGCCTGGGCTCCTCACGCCCTGCCCTGGGTTCACTGAGAGAAACCGCAGTTTGCTTGCTGGTTCGTGTTGTTGTTTGTTTTTGTTTTAAGCAGGCAGCTGTGCCACGCATCAGAGTAAGGAATGGTTGAGAAGAGAATTAGGGAAAAGGGAATGGAGCAAGATTAACGGGGAAAACGGGGAGGAAAGGGAGAGATAAACTCATACTATATTGCAAATACATAGCCGGTATAAAAACCATCAGATTTTTCAAAGCGCTAATTTGGTTTTGGTGGCGTTTCCTCTTCAAAGGAGCAATGTGGAATGGCATCAGTATGAGCAAGAAGATTCACAAGCAAGTGCCTTTGTTTATAACTAATGTCAGCAGTAGGACCAGAGAGTCGTTCTTACCATGTTTCAGATGTAGGCAGCTGTCATTCTTGGACCTGTACCTGCAGAAAATTGTGTCTTTAACAAATTTTTATTGAAGAGGTTTTTGAACATTCCAAATACGTAGTAGCTACAACATCATGTGGACTTGTTTGCTTTACTTTTTATGGTTCTTATACCAGCCATTTTTATTTGTGCAGTCCAAGTGGCCTTACTTTTAATGAAAGAAAAAGGGGAAATAAATAGGACCTCACTGACTGATGCCTTGAATTAATGTATAGGAAAGATAAGCCCTATCATCAAGTTTTATAGTTTTTAAATAACCTAAACCACAGGAAAGATTCTCAAGGGGATATAAGGTAGCATATTATAGAATCATCATAAAAAGTTTTACTATAAAGAGTTACGCAAATAGAAGAACTGAAGTGTTAATAAAGCAAAAAGAACAAAGACAACAGAAGCAAAAACAAAACAAAACAAACAACCACAGTTAACCAGGATTCCAGGTGACAGAGTCGGGGAAAGGAGTTTTTAGGGGTCCCTTCACAGAGTCACATTGAAAAGAAAGGTCTCTTAAAATACTCTCAAAGACTTTCAGGAGGAAAAGCAGAGTTGAAGTATCACAAGTTACAGCTGCAGAATAAAGCAGTGTGTGTATAGGAAGGTGCAAACTACTTTAAAGGTGTTTGTCAGAAGCATGAGCATTGACTGGAAAGTCACAAGGTGCCTACCTGATGTGGATTCCTGTAGTTTCTCTCTCTTCCTCTTCTTTTTCTTACCCTGGAAGGAGACAGGCACATGGTCGTGTTAGAGGCTGTACAGTGACCGCACGGGTGAATGCGGCATAAAAATACAGGCAGGCAATCACCAAAGAGGTGAAGATGCCTCACACGCATCTCTCTCTCTCCCCACCCTCCCTTCCCTCCCCTCCGCGATCTGTATCTGGAAACAGAAAGCAAGAGAAAGAGAAAATAAATTCTATTTCTTTGTGACCTTTGTCTCTACAGCCTCATACTCACTCCATCAGCACTGGCACCGGGAGGGCCCCACACACGCGCTGGGAGGAGGATGTCCTTGGGGTACGGCCACAGAACCCCCTTCAAGGAAAACCCATTGAAGGAGGTGGAGCTTTCACTCTGAACCACCACACTTCGAACCCACTTCTGCTACTGTTCATGATAAACTTCCTTACTGGAAATTCCACCGTACAATTAAAAGTTCAGGATGTTAACTGAGGACCCTCGGCCCCCACCGCGTAGGCATGACGTGGCTGAGGATAGTGGTTAAAGGGTAAGAGCAAACTTGAGAAAACTAAAGGTAATTTCAAAGACTTATTTCTGGCAATTAAGGATCTTGCTTCCTAAAACAGATACAATAACGTGGCTATGCATGCAATTTTAAATATATTTCAAAATCATCTTAATCACAAACTAAAAACTTTAAGTCCCATTTACAGTGGTCTCGTTTTCTGTTTTTCATCATAGTTACTTTCCTCTCAAAAAATAATTGTAATAAAAAAGTACATATTCAGTTTATATGAATAGTAAATGACCAACCTAAATTAGGATGGTATTCTCAAATAAGTGTAACAGAACACATACCACTTCTGTCTGCTATAGTAGTCGCTTTAACAAATAACAAAACATAAAACTGTAAGACGTATGGAATATATCGTGTGAATACATAACACTGTATGTTTTTATAAACCTCAATATAGTTTTTTCTTCATGTCATATGACATGACCATTGCAGCCATGAAGCTTTGGAAAGTTGACTGAAACTGTCCTCACAAACACTAAGGCAACCAGCAAACACTAGTGACCCTGGGAAATGATGTGTATCAGTAATAACAGAGTTGCCTTTAGGCTTCCTGAAGGTGCTCCCGAGGCGGGCGCAGGCAGGGAGCGCGTGCTTCTCACAGGCATCTTCCATCTCCCTTCCAAATGGAATCACTGTGGTTTTCACAAGGTGCTGTGAGCTTCTTTCCTGTCTGAAGTCTGCTTCCTTACTCTCTCCTCCAACCTCCCACTTGTCCTTTAACACTCCTCTCCAGTGTCACCTCTTCTAGGAGCCTTCTCAGCCTCAACCCACCCTGCCCTCCGGCAGAGCTCACGGCCAACACCTGACTCAGCCCTGGTGCTGTGATGGGCTTATCGGAGCACCGCCTGAGTCAGCACATCTCTGCCACCCAGCTCTGGGCTGGGACAAGTGACCGTGGCCTGGCCTTTGTGGAATAACCGATACCACATTCCAGGGAAGGACAGATGTTTCAAGAGAACCTACATTTATAGTAAACAAAAAGAGCTAAGTAGCTTGGATGTATTAATGCCAACTTATACCAAAAAAATGTATGTGTGGTAAACATAAAAAATGTTTTTCAGAAAATTATATCTAATACTGAGGTTATTAAGCATTAAATTTAAAGGATCTAGCAATATAAATATTTGGCTGATCTCACCAGAGAAAATACATGCATTGTTGTTGATTTATGAAAACTTCTGTTATAAAAGTTATAAAAACAAATTGGAGTTATAAAATCTATGATGCCATAGAATAGAGCATTTTAATAGTAAATCGCTGAGATATATTTAATATTATCTCAGTGAGGATCAGGATAGCATTCTGACACTAAATGATAAGATATAATAAGACTCATTTAGACTCTTATTATACTGTTATGTAAAGAGTATCTTTAGCTAAAGTGCCATCACTTGATTGACTTCTGTCTGCCTGAGTAATTAACAGGCTTGTTTTGACTTATATAAAAATTGTATGCAACAAACCTGGGTTTCCCCTTCATTCAAGGGGATCCTAGAATCAAGTTATACAAAACCAATTTCCTTTAAAAATTGTGCAGAGGAAAACCTTTCAAGGTAAATTCACATGACATCGGCTTTCTTTCAAACTTTCTTTCCATCTCTCCACATGGGAAGGAGAGCAAGAGGGCGAGAATGCTTCTTTTATCTCTTTAAAAGTAAAATCTCACTTCTTTCCTTAAGGATCAGAACCAGAAACTTCACTCGAGCACATTCAACAAGCAATGCCAATTCCATCGATACAAATTCGTGGCACAGCAAATCTCTTCCACGGGTCAGGGAGGGAAGGTCCACTCTCCCGTTTCAGCCAAGCCACATCCCAGAGAAATCCAGAACAGGGTTAGAAGAGGACACTTTTGAAAGCTTTTAGGTGGGAAACTGATTCCCCCGTAAAGGACATGGCAAAGGCTCTACCCAGAAGATGTTAATTACTGCCAAGAGAACAGAAGCCCGGCTCAGGGGAGAAATCTCTTCAACTAAAGCAGTCTTCTTAAGAAGGCACTGGAAGACTGAGCTAGCCTGCTCCGGAGATGGTGGAGTCAGGGAGACCTGGATGTGAGCTGCACCTAAGCCACTCCATAGCCACGGACAAATTACTTTAACCTCACCAACTGCTCAGTTTCCCTCCTCTATAAAAAGCAATAATACTATCTATGCCACAGGACTATTAAAGGATTAGAAAAATAACACAGAAGGCATGTAAACAGTTCTTGACAATTGGCATAGGGTAGTTATTAAAACAACAACTCAGGATAGCCCATGAGCTGCTGCTCATAAGTAACAAACAGTAGGACTCGGATGTCCTGCGTCGTGGTTGTAGCCAATGTTTAAGCTCCAAATTCTGACCAGCAGTGAATTTTTCTTCAGACCATGTTACGGGAAACAGTGTGTTCCAAAAGTCCTGGTGTCTCATTATATGGGACATATAGCCTCAGACATGCAGCCCCATGGGACCATCTACAGCAATGGCCACATGTTAAATTGCATATTGATTAATGGCATCACTCAGGCCTGTATAAAAAGAGGCCATTTCACGTAAGACTGTCATAGTTGACATTTCATTTTGAAGGCTAGTTTCACATGGAAAATGAAAACAATGTTCAAATTTTTTAATCAAAATTATTCCACTGTATCACATATTATTTATAATATACTTCCATAGAAATATTCTTTGCTGTATTAAGATTACATTAGTAAGATGTTCACACGCTAAAGTAGTAACATAACTGGCAATATAAATAAGGTATTTATAGTACAACTTTAAAAATATAATAATACCTATTCTGAATGAAATAGATAACAAAATGAAACAAAAATTTTCCCCAGTACTGATTAGTCTGTTGCAAAATAGTCACTTCATTACATTGTAAGTAAGAATTATAAAGTAATATAATCTTTTTAGAAAGCAATTGGACAATATGTATCAAAAGCCTTTAAAATATTTATACACTTGACCTCAACAATTCAACTACTGTGAATCTATCCTACAGAAATAGTTGTCCTAAATACAGAAAACTATTATGCCCAGGTATGTTTATTGCAGGATTATTTACAATTGTAAAAAGAGAGAAAAATGGGAGGCAACTTAAATGTCTAAAAGCAGGGAAAATGGTTAACTGTAGCATTCACTGAATGAAATATTGTATAGCCATTAAGATTGATATATGGAAATACTACACCATAACAAAAAATGCTTATATATGAGCATGACACAAAAGTGTATGTACATACTCTCTCACACACACATCCAAGTAAAAAATAAAAACACATGTACAGAAAAAATACTGGAGGTTAATGTAATTAGTTATCACCAATGTTGCCTTTACATAAGTTTATGGGCTTAAAAAATCTTCTTCACCAACATTTTAATGATAAGGTGTTTGTTTTTTTTAATTTAAAAAGTTTCACTTAAAAAATTCATAGCCCCCACCCAAAAAATTGACAGCTGAAAGCTTTCAAAATGTGTTATATCCATGAAATCTTTATTATAAAGTCCACTAACTTCCAAAAATAGGACATTAAATATATTATAAAGCATTTTTCCTTCATGAAAGTCACAGAAAGAAAGAATGAGTCAAAGTAGAGAGCTATCAGTATGCAGAAGGGCCTTACATAATTGTCTCTCGCAGACCAGCCTGGATAAAGCTGCATATGTAGCTGTCTTTCCTTCCGCGCTAATTCATAATATTTAGCCTGCTCTTCACGGGAGAGGGCATGCCACTAAAACACAAAGGGGAGGGGAAAAACCAAATAAAAGTAAGCAAAATAGAAACTAACATACATTGCATGTTTTAAACATTGAAGAACGAAAATATTAAGCATTTAAACATCGATTCATTTTTAAATGGCAGAAGATCAAGTCCTACAGAAATCCAGTTGGAGTCTGGTGGTTAGTGAGAAACTCGAACTCGGGTTTCTCTTTTCTGTTCTCTGATATCACATGAAACACATTCAAGTCCATCAAAGTGTCTAAAGTATGCACCCTTCCTCTTTTCCAATATAAATTAAAAAGAACTTTCACTGCTCAACCTCAAAGCCTAACTTAGTCCTTTCCATAGTTTGTAGCATATTCTGATAACTGAGCTTACACACTACTTATTTAGGCAAAATACAGTAATTTCTACATGTCTCTTCCACAGATACATCTTTGCTTCACATGGACAGTCTCCCACTCCGTCATAAGAAGAGCCTGAAACCTTCGTCATTTGATCCTATGTATAATAAAGCAAGACATCAAAAGTTAGTCTGTCTCAGTCTCTTCCCCCTCTCCTCACACTTTTATTGACACTAATTGTCTACAGGAGAACACTGATAACATTGCACAATCACACAAACGCACTTTATGGTGACAGTTTTTCGCGTCCTTCTGATGGAAAGCAAGGAGCATGGTCTATGTTTCTTGTGCCATCTAGAATTTGAGGCTGTAGTACCCACTTTGGAGAATACAGTGGCTGACTCCCTGCAAACTTTCCCTCTCCCTTTTATATCACTGATATATATGATATACAGCAAAACAGCTCACGTAGGCAAGGTACCCGTTTGAGATTTTAGGCAGCTTGTATTTGCACATTGCTTTGCATATATTTGCACGCAACTTGCCCCAGGGCCCCCGCAGGAGGCAGTTTTCAAATATTTTCCGTATTTCCTCAGTGCTGGGACCTGTCAACAGAACCTTCCAGGAGAACTGGTTGAGGGTCGGGGACTCACTGGCCACAGGCGATGGCACAGAGGCGCCAGGCGCCGGAGTGGACCCCAGTCCGCACCGCGCAAGCGCACATTCCGCAGCCACGCTGCGGGGCGGAGGGGGGGGCCTGGACCTCCGACTCCTGCTCGCCCCAGCTCTAGGGCGCGACGCTTCCCACCTCATTCCTTCCATTCAAGGCTAGGCCAGTCGTTCTCATTCATGTCCACCATCAATATTGACTTTAATTTCCCTGTTCTTGTTTTTTAAAATGATTTTTTTAAAAAAGGCAAAGACAGATGTGGCTCGATTGGGGAAAGGGAGGAGGAGCGAGGGAGAGAGGTTGAGGAGAGAGTTCTCCAGGCGGAGGCGCAGCCTAGGTCCTCCTCATGTGGACCCAGCCCTGAAGTGTGGCTGGGAAACTTTCCTTGGGGAAACGCAACCACCCACTGATCTCAAGAGGAGCGCAAGAGCACCTTGTGCCACCTCCCACCCACCACTCCAGCCTCCAGTAGGTTAACTAATTCCATTTCCCTCAAAAGCCCCTTAAAAGCCAGAGTCTCTGTGTTGGACAGGGCAGACGATTTATTTTCTCAACTGCTGTAGAAGTGCAGTGTAAAGTTAAGAAGTACAACACACAGCAGGACTTGGCCGGGACCTAAATCAGGTAATAGGCTTTTCTTTAAAAAGAACTGGGGGAGGGGCAGAAGTAAAAAAACAAAACAAAACAACCAACCCTGGAAAAGTTACCTGAGACCCAGTTTTTTGTACTAGCAGAGTAAACACAGTAAGTCAAATGGAGCCTAGGAAGAAGCACATCTGGGTCAGCTGTGGAAGTTTAAATCAGGTAAGCAAAGTTACATGTCCTCTGTCAACCCACAGCTTTCCTGTACCAGGGATCCTAGCCTGGTGCTAGAGACCTTCACAGGGAGAAACAAACTGAGGGCCATGGAGGAGGTCAGCCTGGATTTGGCTTTCTTTTTTTTAAGAAAAGACTAATCATTAATGTTTACACACATCTGGTATTAAGTAAATGTGACTGGCAGGAGGCAAAGTGTTAACAAAAAGGAACAAAAAAGGAGACAAAAAGGAAATTAACACAAGAAATCTTTGCCAGTTTGTTTATTCATTTGACAAGTAAATATCTCCATTATGCTACCACAATATAGTGATACAATTTTATATAATTTATGGCAGCTTTGTAACTTGCTAAGAAAACCCGAAATAAGTTTTATAACACTTATCTCTCACCCTGGCCAGTGTGGCTCAGTTGGTTGGAGCATCATCCAGCACACCAAAGAGTCATAGTTTGACTCTTGGTCAGGGCACATGCCTCTCTTGTGGGTTTGATGCCTGGTCGGGGCGCCTCTGAGAGGCAAGCTATTGACGTTTCTCCCTCTCATGGATGCTTCTCTCCTTCCCTCTCTTTTTCCGTGCCTTCCCCTCTCTCTAAAATCAATAAGCATGTCCTTGGGTAAGTCTTTAAAAAAACAAACAAAAAAAACCCAACAACTTATTTCCCAAGGTTTGGGAAGTTGGGTCTTCTACCCAGTAAGGTTTTTTTTTCAGTTAAAGAAGAAAACAGGTTGATTTAAAAACAAACAAACAAACAAAAAAAAAAAACCCAGAAAAAACCGAGCTAACAAAACTGAGCAAACTACAAGGAGAAAAAGCAGGACACAAACTATTTATTTGTGTTTTCAGTTGTTTTTAGTTTCCTGATGTTTCTAACGCACAAAATCTATTTACAAATAAAAGATCATTTACCAGAGTAAACCAGAAAGTCAAACGGTATTAAAATTTTGCACCGAAACAAAAATAAAGTCTTATACAAACCAGAAAGATGGCCTTTCTTTACAGTAACTTCTGAAACACAACTGAGATAAAAATGCTTTTCCATTGCTTTTGTTTACTGAAAAATTAAGAGCTAATTTTTAAAAAAATTAAATTTCATTGTCAAGATTTTACCAAGTTGTTCAGAAAATATACACTTAATTTGAAGAAATGTATACAGTTTCAAGATTTAAAAATCCTGACAATACATTTACAATAAATGGACTTCCTTAAATAGCCTAGGTTAAAAAAAAAGTTTATCTTAAATAAGATTTGTGTTATTATGCATAATATGAAGAAAACTGATTAATTCATATGAATGAACATTTCTATTTTAGAGACACAGTAAAGTTGCATAAAAATCAACAGATAAAAATGTTCAGAGGTTTAAGTTCCACTTTTAAGAATTATAATTATCCCAGTGTAAAACTTCATGATTTTAAAGCCAGGAACTTTAAAGAACTAGCAAGGACTACTCTGCCAGAGGGGAGTTATGAAAGAATAGAAAACCTGATCTTAATCAAAGATCTCAGAGACCTATAAATAGAAACAGGTGTCCAAATCAAAGACAGAGAGAGACCCCAAATGAGAACCATCCCTTAGGACACATGCTCTGATCTGGGGATTGTTAAGGGAGCTGAGAAAGTAGCAATTGTGGGAAACGTGCATTAAAAATAGGAATCACACCCCCATATCATATCCTTACTTACTCTCTTGAGAAGGAAAAGAATTCCTGCTGGAGGGACAGGGGACCTTTAACTCAAAAAAGGAAAAGAGAGGAAAAAAGCTAAGAGTTTTACACAAACTGGAATAAGAACATTAACTCTTTTCCTCTGATTTCTTCTTTTAAAGGGTCAGGGGAAATGGTCATCAGTCTCTAAGCTTTTAAGGCAGAGTTCTTCAAAGATGATGGGAATCACTCATCTGCTATGATCTAGCTTGGGAAATCATTGTAATTATTGTTATTAAGTGTTTAAGAATCCACAGGGACATAAAGTATTGTACGCAGGACACCAAAAAGCTATAATCTGTCACCGCACCCTAACCCTGAAACCCTGGTGTCTCGCAGATTGAAAATAGCTGCATTTTTTGCTACCCATCGGGAATCGATAATGCAAGAAAGCCTTCTACTCTCTGCCTGAAATCTCCTGAATGCTTGCTCTTATGGATGCTGAAATGTATTAGGTCTGTAACAAACATGGTAAAAATGATCATCAATAACAGCTAAAATACTATCCTCTGAGTTTCATAAAGGTTGTTAAATCCCCATAAATGAATGTTCATTTGCAAATCATGAATTTTTGGAAAGGCAGCAAAATCAAATACACACCTGCATAATTAAGAAGCTACCGCACATGTATGATGAGCATCAACAACTATGATGAAGCTTTTCTAAAACAATCATCTAATTACAGGGGAAATGTAATTTGAATTTTAAAAATTCAATTTTTTTTTTTCACCACTCTTCAGATACCTAACTAAAAACATTTCAATTCTGAGAAAAGTACCTGGGAAGATACTTTTGGCTGGTGGTTGGATTATAAAAATCTTAGTGCCTGTCCCAGTTGCAGCCTCGTGGCTGATACATATGCTCTCAGAAAAATATCTTAGCAAGGCTGACAGAAAGGCTGAAAAGAAAAGGGGCAATCCAGAAACCTGGCCCATGAACACTTGAAGAATCAGAGAGTGATTTTTCTAGAATAAAGGTTTCTCTGGCTCATATAAATACTTCACTTAAAGCTTCTGAGTAACACAGATCTGTGCCTATCATGGAAAACGTGGCCATACTTGCCAGGGTTTGTCCACAAGCCCACTGGTTGGCCAAGGCCTCTCCATTGCTCCCTATGCGGGCTTAGGGCTTTCCTGCCTCAGACATGAGTCCGCACACATGTGGCTCCATCTGGAGAGCGTCTGCCTCTCCCCTAAATCACTTGGTTAACCCCCACTCATGCCTCAGGTCTCAGCTTACACACTATTTTCTCAGATGGACCCTTCCCCAGCCTCCTGTTAGTCTTTCTCATAGAAGCTGTTCTTTATATTTACAGTATATACCACAATTTTAATTATATACTTATCAGGTAATTATTTGCCTAATAATCAGTATCTTGTCACAAAACTTTAAACTCCATGAAGACAAGGACCATATCTATTTTATTCAGCAATTATTATCTAGTTACCTAACTACACTACCTGGCACATAAAAGACAATAAATAACATTGTTTAAAGAGTGATAACAGGAAAAGGGGTTATCATTTCCAGGAAGTTTTCTATGTGCCATGTACAATCTAAGTTGTTTACAATACTTTATATCAGTTAATCCTCCAAAAGGTTACCCTGTATCTTGTTCTCTCTGTTACTCCCCAAAGTGTCTGGTGATTTTCCAAATGCATCCTGTGCCCACCTGCTGGCATGGACATTTGGGCAGGTTTTAATGAAGCAGCTCCACAGTTCCCATAAACATTTATTTACCATCCCACTACTTACCCTTCTGCCTAGAATCTGGTTGATAGCTGCACTTTCTTTCAGAGTACACTCAGCCACGACATTGGCTCTCATTTCTTTCATGTATAACATAAAAGCATTCAGAGGCTTCTTAATGTGAGGTCTTTTTGGCTCCTGCTCCTTTCTCTGTTCATGCTGAGGCTTCCTAAAAGGTGGGTGTGGTGGGGTTGGGGGAGGGGTAGGCAGAATAAGGAAGAGACGGGAGAAGGGAGGAGAGAAGCAGAGCTTCTGTTTACATCACCAGTCACACTTGGGCTGGAACAATCCTCTAGCTCTCCACAAGCCGGAACACCATCCATTTAGGAGAGCAGCTATTTGTGAGTATCCTTCTGTTAGAGAAAGTTCGCCTGGGGCTACAGAAGTGTTTAACACAAAATGGAAACGGTTGTGTAGAGCTGCTCTATTTAGGGGCCGGAGGCTGAGCAACTTGGTCACCTGGGGAAGCTGCGCCTATACTGCAAGTTAAGTGGCTGTTCCTCTTTCAGATAAGGTTCCTAACATTTTTTTTTTTTTTGGCGGTTGGGGGTGGGGGAATGGGTGGATGGGCAGTTGAAGAGCTAATGAAACTTCAGACTCTCTCCCCCAAACAAATGCTTGTTGGCTTTGCCTACATTTGTAGGGTGTTTTTTGTTTGTTTGTTTGTTGGTTGGTTGGTTTTAAGAGAACAAGGGGAGGGAGAGAGGGAGAGAAACATTGATGGACTGGATGGGTGACTCTTGTACTCACCTGGGACCTGGGACTGAAACTGCACCCCAGGCATGTACCCCAACCAGGAGGTTTATGGGACGACACACCCACCAGCTGAGCCGCCGGCCAGAGCTAAATTTGCAGGGATTTTATAGACTATCTCGTGCTTCCTGCCACCTCAACTTCCTGTTCCAGTCTGCAAACCCTAGATTAAGAAACTCAATTCCTAATTTCTCCAAGGAATGTAGCCCCTGGCCCATGTACGCGACCAGAGACTATCCTGGGCATGGTTTGCCCCTTTCCCTCGACTCCTGTGCTTCTGAAGCCGGGAAACGGGCACACTGCCACCTGGGCATGCACTGAACTCTCGGGTCCACTGCAGGGCCCACCAGGGGCTCCGCCACTGTAGGACCGCACTGCAATCTGCTGGAAGATCTGGCTACGTGGCCCGAGATACCCCATGCCTGTGCTCTGACGGGTACTCCATTTTGGTGAGGTTCCCTGGGTCTTTTAAGGTCTGTTCTCCTTTCCAATCTCAGAATCACAATCAGCCGGCAGTAAGAATGAAGCCGATTTAAAGTCCTCAGGGACAGCTTTCAAAGCAGAGCTACACCGGTTTCCATAATAAAAGAGAGGGAGAAGTTCAACAACGGTGAAGAAGAAATTGTGTTTAAATCCTCAGTGTCTTCAGGCATTTGCAGGTGAGACCACCCGCATACTTACACATGCATCAGGTCGCCGTCAGTGTGGGGGTGTTCCTGTTTGACCTGAGGTGTTACAATAGCGGGATGAGGGATGCCAGTTGTGTGGGGACCTGGTGGACCAGGAATCATGTGATGGGAAAACCTAAAAGAAGGAAAGACAAGAAACAATACGTGCTAGTGGCTGTTGGAGCAAAAACTACATGGAATTTTGAAACAACCCACTAACTGCTATTGGCAATTATATATGTGTGTATTAACTATAAATTAGAGTGGGCTGATAATTTCTTTCCTTTCTGTATTCAGGTGGAAAACATTTATAATTATTCCTTTTATAATGACCCCCCCCCCCAAAAAAAACTAATAGTAGAATCTGGCATTTTTCCTGGAACTCTCTAGGCCAGAGGATTAAAAAAAAAAAAAAGTCACTTTTCTTGCAAAGCAGTTTTCAAATAATTCCAGCAATAATAATTATATGAGAAATATAACACTTAATTATTAAGATTTAGCTTTTCAAAGATTTTAAAATAAAAGCTAAAGAAATTACATTTAAAAACCTTTGCCTATATTCCCAAACCATCGCATTAAGAGTCTTCCCATATTGCTGGCTCCTTTACTAATATTCGGAGAGAACAATTGAGAAAATAAGGGACAGGAAGATACCTTTCCCTTTCAGTCCCCGATTTAATAAAGTTGCCCTTCATGTTATCCAAAGTAATTTTCTACAGAGAAAGAATGTTTGAGAGATCTAGTCTTATGGAAAACTGATAACAAAATTAAGGGAAGGGTTTAATCAAAGGGAAGAATACATACAGTTCTACATCAAGGTAAAAACTACATTCGCTGAACAAAGGCTTTTTTCCGAGTATGCTTGCAGAGTATAAAAAAAAAACTCTTAAAATATCCACCACCATTCAACACAAAGGAGGGAAACTGCCATGCAAGAAAAATAAAATAAATAAAGACTACTTTCAACAAGAGTTTTGGATAAATTTGGGTATGCTTTAGAACTCTTTGCTTTTCAAACTGTTTTAAAGTAAACATTTAACTCAACAAGAACAACATTCTCAGGTCTTTCATCACAGCCCGTACAATTTACTCCTTCATCTGGGAAGGAAAGAAGTACTCTGCTTGGGTATGTTAATATTTCAGAAACAAATTTTTAAAAATTAAGGTGGCATGGTAAAAATACAAGTATTTGACCAAATAATAATCCTTTGCTAAATGCACCATTTGCAAAAATACATGATGCCTGCGAGAAACTCCTCTCCTCAGACAGTTCTTACAATGTTAAAAAATATGACACTGTATTTGGGGGGAAGGATATTAATTTCATCCCCCTCCATCTGGCTAGATTTACAATTTGCTGAACAAATAATTTTTTTTTTTTTCAAATCTGAAATTCACCACAGAAACTGCGAATTTCATACCTCTATAAAAAGTAAAGATTGACAACCAGTTACTAATCCAAAAGTTTGACTTCGGCACAATATTGCTAGCTCCCTTGAAAGAGCAACATCGAACACACAGATGGTACACCACAAATGTGTGTATGTCAAGCACAGGGCACAGAAGCCATCCTTTCCAGAAGCAAGCAGTACACAGAGCAGGGTGGCGGCAGACCTCACAGAGCTTCGCTGGCACTATGTCCCCACAGGGCCTGATTCACACACTAGGACACACACCCCGTAAGGCCTGATGGCCGGTAAGCACCATTCTTTCTCTTCCGACAGCTTTGGTCCAGGAAGGCTCTAGACTATCTGGGCGTTTTCAAACACTGCCACATTAAACCAGTACAACTTTCCTCAAAGAAAGTAAATGACAGAACTCAGACCGAACCAGTCTTTATCTTCCCCTTTACCACACCCCCAGCATACTTTGAATAACAAGCTCTTATGATGTCCACTTTTGGGACATTTCACATCCTGCAGCCAGGCGGCAGTGAAGTCTTCCTGAGGCACAGTTGCCCCCATGGCTGAGTCCATCCCCCTGGTGGGTGTGTGTGGCTGGTGCTTGCTGCTGGGGCACAGAGTGTGGCTCCTACCCAGGAATCTCTACAACACCTAGTGTGGGAGCCAGGCGCACTGCACAGACAGACACGTGGCTGAGCTACGCACCCTCCTAGCCAACCGAGAGGCAAGCAGAGGCGCACAAGATGCAAGCGCAGGAAGAGCAACTTGTCCAGGGTACCCGGTTTCCACCTCTACCTACCTGGACATGGAAGTGTCGACTGACAGTGAGGATGGGTAGGGTTGCCTGAATCCTCCCGTGATGGGATATACAGGCTGACCTTGCCTGAGGTCACAGAAGAGAGGAACCCATCAATGACAAAACATGAGTTACCAACCAGCAGTAAGAGTTTGATGAGGGGAGAAAGGCGAGGTATTCAAACAGAATTTTTGGAATATTACAGACCACAGCATTTCTTCAGTTATCCAGTTGCTTCCCTTCCTTACCCTCCACCCAATCAAAGTATTTTTTGCCTTGAAGAAAATCTCCCACCCTCAACTTTAAAAACAAATCAGTTTATGAATTACCTGGATCCCTTTCCCTCTTCCATCCCCATTAATGCTTTAAAAAAGTAGGCATGTAACAAATGTATATTAACTATAACAGAACTCAGAGAATGGTGAAATATTCCTTTCAGAGACGGTTAGTGGATTATTTATCAGAATCTTTCAGAATTTCAGGAAAAAGACGAAAGAAGGAAATAAAAACTTCATTATTTATATAAGAATGGACAAATATTTTAAAAACACTACTCTCCCTTCCCCCATCTGCCCATGTTAGAATAAAAAAAAAAAAAAATAAGAGATCGATTCAGTGGAATAATTTCCTCTCCTCTCTGAGAAGTCCATCTTCCCGTTTTCCACATCTCACATTTCTCATTTACACGCCCTGTATTTCCTGCTGCCACTGACTCAACTAGCACAGGATTATTGCCCCTAAGGAGCTAAGGTCAGACAGAATGATTCCTGTAGGACTGCACAAGTACACACGATCAATTAGATTCAAACAGTGATTGACTCAAAGATCTAATGCTAAAGAGAGTGAGGTGAAATCCCCATGGCAGGATGACCCCTTCTTGCTGAAGAAGAGAGAATGTAAGGTGGTCAAGGGAGAGAGACTGGGACAATGACCTGGGGCCTGAAGGGACATGGAGTTGGCTAGAGAGAGAAAGCTTTTGCTTCGTTGGAGCCCAGTTTCCACGAAGTGAGCAGTGGGGAGAGGAGGAATGGGGAAGGGACAGGAGTGGGAACAGGGAAAGTTGTGTGCTCACAATAAAATAATAAAAATAGGCTATACTATACAAAACGATTCTTTCTTCCTAAGAATCATTTTCTTTCCTTTATCTTTATAATTTAGAAAACTTTAAAGGCAACAGTTAAGAATTTTTTAGAACTAACAAAGAATAGGTTTTTGAAAAAAACAAAAACAAAAACAAAAAACAAACTCCAAACATTAGTTTTTTATTTCTGTGAACTCAAGCTGGAGCTTACATCATTAAAATTCAAAAGATGCTTTTGTTATCTTACAATTTCTATTTCTTTGTCATTAACATCACTTGCCATTTATAAGCAAAGATAGTACATACTTGTAGATATTCAATGTGTCTCAGTTTCTTTCAAAAATATAAGTTTTCATAAATAAAACGGAAAAGAAAAACCGCACTGAGCTTTTTGTACGGGCATAGCAAATGCCCAAAGCCACAAATTGAATCCATACAACTATAAGCTTCAAAGCAAATGCTACAGCCATTTTCTACACACATAAGCAAATGGATTCAATCCATTTCAAAGTCTGTATGTTTTTTAATCTTCTAAATTGAAATGAAATAAAGTTGCCACCTTGCTTGTTGTTGTAAAATTTCCTCAACTCCGCAAGTGTTATCATTCATAAAGCTAATTTGCATAAATGGGAAGTAGAAGAATATGTATTCAAATGCCTGGCTGAAGTTTGCAGGAAGGATCTTACCAGCCAAGAGGTGGGGTAATCTGTCCAACACCACCCGGAGACAGCGGGTAGAAGGTAGGGATCTCGGGAGCGGGAGGATGTCTAGACATGCCTGTTAAAAAGAATAGAGAAAAGAATAGAGTGTTCAGATCCATAGGACATTTGACTCTTACAGCAAAAGAAAGGCAACAAAATACTTTATGTCATAGTTCTTAAGGTCTAGAATTAAACAACATTTATTTATCAGATCCACTTAATGGAAATCAGTTTGGTATCTTTTCTCGAAATTTTAACATCTGAGAAAACAGCTTTTAAAGCAGTACATCTTGAGGAATTCCGGAAAGAGTAAATATGCTGTTAATAAAGGCCATCAAAATAAGACTTTTAATTTATTTGGTTTGCCCACATTATTTCATTTGGTTAAGAAAATGGTAGGCCATTGTCTTTGTATAGGATGGGAAATGAGAGCACTTCCTAAGTAGATGGCCTGCCATGTGCTCAAGGATTAGGTAAATTGCCACTTTCATATTTGTATTGGCTCCCGTATGGACACACAGATTTGGGAAATGTGATGCCTCAGAGAATCAAAGATTAATTAGGAATCATCTTCAGCCCCATAATGGTCACACTTGATATGATTCATTTGGTCTCTGCCACTTCAGCTCCAACTAAGCTCTTCATCAAGTTGAGTCCTCTGGGCTCCAAGGTCAAGCTGTTCTGGATTAGTTGTATTCCTTAGACAATGAGAGTGCCACCAAATTGTTTGAGCTTACACTCCCTGGAGTACGCTCTCCTCTAACTGTAAAAACCACCTAAAGATAATACCTAATCCTAGTCCCAAATGACATCTCTCTGTTTATATCTTACCTTGGGTACAGAAAAGAAGGAGTAAGACACATGTATAAAAATGTACGATATTAGCACTTAGATTCAATGTATTTGGTGGAAAGGGAGTGATTCTGAATACAAAAAAAGCTGCAACAGTTTCCTTATACAGCTAATCTGACTTTATAAGGACATTTCCATATGTAAACACAAATTCGTAGGTTGAGGACTTAGAAGATGCATTCAGTGGTTGTAAATTTATTGATTGGCCAGCATGTGGAATTGGGCGAGCACATGGAAGATGCTCTTTATATATATTCTACTTTTCTACTGTTCAAGTTCATTATGAGTTTCATTCGAATCTTAAAAGATACTGAAGGCCTTAAACATATGGGAATGACTTAAGAAGCGCGGCCTTTGAAGTTAATATTTATTTGACTTTGATGTTAGGACAAACTACTTCTCAATTGTAGAAAGTAGGTAGGATGGAGAAAGGTCTTTAATATCTCCATCAGTAGAGTTTACATTTTTTACATGATCATCTCGTTTTGCTGTTTTTAAAAGAATGTTCCTCTAATCTCCTTTTTTTGGCTAGGTATACTGTTGCTTTTGGTCACAGTAGACCCCCAATTTCATCCTCTGGATTTTTTTCTTGGGCCTGGGGAGGCCTGAGCAGCAGGGGCAATCCTAAGGGAGCCTACAGTGGTGACTCATGACATACCAGAATCCCCGAGGACTTTCTCCAACTGGCCACCGCCCTCACCTGAGATCCCTGCATCTCCCCAAACCTCAGGTTCTGCAGGGGGATCGCTCGGTTTTTGACAAGGAAAACAAGACCAACTGAGGACTTTGGAAACTTTGCAAAAATACGAAGTTGAAAATCATGGTTAGAGGTGACAGGCTACCTGAATTGTCTCTTTTAATCCCTTTGTTTGAGAGGTGCAGTGATGGTTGGGGCACACAACATACGTCTGTCCTGGGTTCTTGGCACCAGGACACAGACAATTAACTTGATTCGACCCCACGTCTCCAAGCAGATAAGCTTGAAACTTTGTTCCCCATGTTGGTCCTTGTTCTGAACATGCTTTTAACACATCAGTGTCTCTGTGCCAGAGTGACTCAGCAGAACAAAATATACAAACTAGTTGGGTTTATTTTCACCGTTCTGAAGAAGGAGGGGGAAAACTAACATTTACTTAGCACCTGCTACATGCTACTTCCTATGCTAGTCATTTAATTTGACTGTTTCTATTAAAATTGTGCTCATATTTCAAATACCCCTTTCCCATGGCATACTCTCTTTTACAACTCTGAGAACTCTCTTTCTTCTTTCCATCTACAAGATTTTATTTGTGCTTTTAACATGGTAATAAAGATGTTCTTCATTTTGTTTTATAGTTAGTTTGTGCAAAGGATTTCCTGCATAAGTTTAAATACTGTTTGGAAAAAGAAACCATGTTTTACCAGCCAATGCATCAAACCATGGTTGTCTCCACAGGAGGTTCTGAATAAATAATTTTGAATGACTGAACAAATGAACAAGTGAAAAAAAAATGTTTAAACAGACCCATTCCCCATGCGGGGTCAACATCATCAGCCATTTTGCAGGCACATACAAGTACATGACAGGGCTTAGGTCATTACAGGAGCTGAAAATGGATCTGTGTTTCCTAAACAGCTTGTTGTTGTTTTAAAATCCTCTTTAACATTCCTACAGGTATGTGAATCCACCAACTCTATCTCCTAAAGACACATTTCACAGCACTCATTTAACTGGTATTTATTTAACACTTACTATGGGCTGTAGGCTATACACAGAATAACCTTAAAAAATCTTAAGCTTTTATAAGTAACGTGTAAATATAGGTAACATGATTTTGGAGTCAGACTGTATGGACGTATCAATTTTGCCACTCAACTCCATATCTTTGAGGAAGTTATTATTATTACATAAAATCAGAATAAAAATGGAATAGGGGTTGTTGTGAAGAATAAGTACATTAATATATGTAATAGAGCAAAGTGCTTGGTACACAGTATAGGTGACATGTCTTTGTTGTTATTTATTAGGATACAGTGAAGAGTATGAAGATATAAATGGGTATATAATCCCAGTATTTCCCAAGAGCTCTTTCCTTTTACCATTTACCAAAAGCTCTTTCCCATTTTTACCAGACATAATGAAACGATTGGCATTCTCTCTTTCCTTTTTCTACACCTCCACACACCAACACACCGACGGAGAGGTAAAAACAAATGTGCTTCCTACAGAACATTAACCTAAGGTTATTTTCTTACAGATGAGAATGGGTTCTGCTGACAGTTGATATTTATTGGATGGTTATATCTAGCGTTAGAGTATGAACATGCCACTCTTTTTTTAAAATAAAGCTAACCAGCCTCCTGGGAACTGTGAAATCGGTGACTCTGGTCTCAGCGCCGTGGTCTAGCCAGCTGTGCTGTGTCATAAAGCCAAAAGGCAGGCCGTGGGAGAGAAAAAGAGTAAAAGCAAGAAACCTAGTGAGCTTTCTCACTTTTTTTTTGGCAATGAATATACTCAAATGGAATTATATAAATTCAAAATCCTGTAAATTTGTTCTTTTCAAATTAAAGTTTACATATCCCAAGATACATGGTGATAAGGTACATGAAGTCCAGGACAAAAAGTAATTAAAAAGAAGATTTCACATTAAAAGCAACACGAAGAGTTTATCAAGTAGAACACAAAATAACACAAATTTTTAGGTAAAATAATATCTTCAAAGAAACTCTAAACAGACGACTTTTGTTCATGTCCACTGGGCCTTCTCTCATTCTGGAGAGTTTATTTAAAAAAAAAAAAAAGTTTGAGAGGCAATGATGTAACAACAATTGATCAGGCAAAACAAGGTAGGGTAGCAGTAAGTGATGGAAGCAGAAGATGAAATAGAAATGTAATTGGTAGCTGGTCACAAATTTGTCTTTAAAAAATTGAACTGTCCTACAATTCTTAAGAGAAGAACTACTAAACCAACACATGTTATTCTTTTAAATAAGTTCATTATGAAGTGTTTAGAACAGGGCCTAGGACATAGAAAGCGCCCTGTAACTGTTAAATAAACAAATAGTTAAAAACATATAAAACACACTTTTGGGTTCTTTTTGTCAATAGCCTGTTTGAGTTTTTACACCTACTTTTAACTGCCGCTCACATCTCTGTGGTTCCCAGGTGTGTGTCTCTTGCTTAGGTGCTGCTCGGGACTGGGATGTTTGAATGGCCCACCTTGTGTTTCCCTTCAGATATCTCAAACTCACCCAGACCAAGGTCATAATCATGACAGTCCTCCTCAGACTCTGCCTTCTTCCTAAAATGCCTTAGTTCCCATTCTCATCATAAATCCACAGACCTGTCTTTGATGTTTCTTATTCTTTAGTAAAGGAAGTAAAGAAAGGACTGGAAATGAGGACTGAAACAGAGGCAAATCTGGTAACCTCTGCAGAGGCGATTCTCACCTTTTCTAAGTAAAAGTACTTGGGCTCCACTCAAGTCAAAGGCCAACAGTAACTAGGTCCTGAAATAAGTTGTCTATTTTAACCAGGGAGGGAAATGAAGGTGTTATGTATTTAACCTAAAAACATCCAGCCTCGGAACTCCACTCTTTTTTTACAAACTTAATATATTTTGTTATCCACTACAGGTCAAAAGAGTGAGGTGCTGTCTATTCTCTGTCTTCACTTGGTTTTATAGGATCGATTTGCTTGCTTGCTTGTTTATTTATTTCTCTCTCTTTTCTTTTCAACTGCGGTTGGCACTCAATATTATATTAGTTTCAGGTATGCGGGATCTTTTATCTTGAACTCCTAAAGACCGTGTTGAGGTCTCACAGCGTTATGGACGTGGAGAGAGCACAGGCCATCCTGTGAATAAGTTCATCCTTGGTTTGCTCTCAGCACGTGGGACCAGCAGGCTGGGAGGGCCTGAACTCTGTGTCCCACAGCCAAGCACCCCACCCCCATCGGTGTTGTGATTTTTCAGACCTCTACGCTGTGTGTTTTTCTGTAAGTGGTACAGAAGCGGAACTTGGTAATGGTGTACAGAAGTCAGATTCATGTTACGGTTTTGTACTTTATCACATATATCTAAGTTGGTGCTAGTAGATAACAAAAAGAGGATAAAAGCTAACAGGCATATAATTGAAACCAAAAGAAATCACTAAAGGCTCAAAAAGGTAACATTTGAAAGTAAAAAATCTCCTACTCTGTCCCTTTTCTAACTTTTCCTTTAACACTGCCATCAATGTCTAATACATGCTGAAATAAGTGAGTAACTACAGGGGCCGCCAAGGACTGAATTTTCAGGGTATTTGTATAACATTGGTTTATACTGTGGATCCTAGATTTTTCAGAGCTGTCTCTTTGAAAATAACCCTTCTAGGTTTTTTGTCTTCTTCTTCTTCTTCTTCTTCTTTTTTTTTTTTTTATCCTGAAACATAAAAGAAGCATCAACAAATTCTTATGGGCTTATAAAAAAACTGCTATCAAATAAAGGACTCTTGCCTTCTACAAATGTAGTTGGGTCCACCTAGGGACGTGGAGTGAAGGCACCTGTAAGGTCGCTCAGACTGGCGAGGCGTGGCTCCTCCTTAACTGATAAAGACCCAGGAGGGCAGGGCTCTCACCTTGTTTGGAATTGACATCTGATGGGATGTGTGACGGGTGTGATCCAGGAGAAAAGTGCTCGTCGCTGTAAGTGATGAGGGGGGTGAGAGGATGAACCGCATGGGATGGCTGCACCACGGGCACTTTATTTGACTGCAAAGTAACCACAGGTCAACAGTTAATAATGGATGCCCAGCTCCTTTCTTCTCTCCCACAGAAAAAGCCACATAGTCGCAGTCACATCAGCATAATCCAAGAATCCTCTCCAGACCTGGACAACTGAAATCATCTGCTCTACTCATTTAGATCTTCTGAATTTGTCCATGTTACATACTCCTCAAGTGTTGGAACATCTCATCAGGTGACTAACAGTTATTTAATCAGCTCCCTTTTGGAGGTTTAGGCTGATTATTATTATCTTACATGACATGAATCTCTGTCCGTACATATTTACATTCCCCTTTTAAATTGTCTCTTCAGGTTGGGTTCAACGAAGAGTTACCGGAATAAAAGTTATGCATGTTTTGTAAGCTCTTTATTCATTACATATGTCTGGCAATGAAAAGGCACTAAAAAATCATTTGATGAATACATAAATCAATAAATATTGCCAATTTGAAGAGCAAAATTTTTAAATGACCCAACAAATATAGATTTGCTATATTAATATCCCCTTAGTTTATAGAATTCATAATTCTATAATTGTACATTTCTAAGAACCATGTTATAGTATTTCAAATGTTTTACAGCTTTGTGAATCACAGCTGACCATCCACTATGCTTTGGCCCTGCTCAGTTCATCTGAAGTCATGTTGATAGACATCATAGAAGTCTTAGTTGATAAAAGGGAATTTCCAATTTTGGATTTAAATGCATGATATGAAATACAGTTTGTAAAACACTTTAAATTGTTAGCATCTTATATATTTAACATTTTACCTTATATTTGCTTAAAAATAAATTTATTTAAATTGGAAGTCTAAAGCTACATAACGATACTTCTTAAAGGTACAGGTTATTTATTTGAAACTTCATCAATTTGAAATCTGGGATTCTTTTGTTTGGTTCAAGTTGAATTCCCCTCTCTTCCCACCCCCAAAAAGCGATTACTAAGAAAATCAGTAATATAAACAAGACTCAGTTTAACCTAATTAAGAACATAGTTTTTTTATTAGAAAACTCTACAGCTCCTCCCCCTCAAAAGAAAGTAAACTCAATGCGATTATATATATGCAAAATATATTTCTGGTTTTAAACACATATACTAATTAAAGCAGTATCATGAAGATCTCCATTTATAAACACTGTAGTAAAGAGTAATTGTGAATTTAAGAGGAACAGGATATAATGAATTTTGAATATTCATTAATTCACTCCTTCAGATATGCCTTCACCATAATTAGCTTGAATTAATGAGATTTCTACTGTACTATAGACTAAAATGCATATGAAATCTGCCTCTCCAGGAGCAAATATCTGTATTTAAAAATTTGAGGAAATGCCTGAAAACTGCACTGCACCGTGAAAACCACTTTTAATGTAGATCCACGTCTGAATGGTGAGGGCCCCGTAACACACTTGTGCATGGTGGCGGCACCTATGACATACATAATTTTGTATTTGATGTTTTTTACAAATTAGGTATAAGAAGTATGTGTCTCCAACAAGAAGGTCTACCCTCAGGAAAATTAAGAACAATTATCCTAGCAACACTTATTCTCTTTACAGCCAGTAATAGTAATTCTCTGTACCCTATCATTACAGCCTCCACCCAAAAGAAACATTGGGGGAAAAAAGCAAGGGGAAAAAAATCATCCTTTTTTTAGACAATGATATAATTTCCATACTAGGTTTTCCCTATTTTATAATTATCAGCTCCTCTCTAATGGCAGAAGTTGCATAGCTCGTATAGCCCTTGGCATTTATTAAATAGAGCACCATTATCAAAGCCACACGCCTCTTCTCTATATACCTCAGCACAGACATCTATGCATATAAATGTGTAAAAGGTTAAAAAAAAATGTTTCAATGCTTTTCAAGTGTTAATGATGCAGACTGCCAGATACACAGATGAGCTTCTTAAATACACGGAATTTAGAATGCTAGAGGAGGTAGGGGCTGGTGGGAGGGGGCGCAGAGATGGGAGGGTATTGTTAGAAACCCTTTTTCAAATGGAAACAAAAATCCCCACACCCAAGTGCTAAAATGAATATATTTCAACTATACTTTAGAATAACAGCATTGATTTTCATTTCAAAAGTCTCATAAGAAGTATAATTGCCAAACAATTTACAAAGATACCTTCTCAGGGCAGTTAAAGAGTAAGCATTGCAGAAACCATCTGGAAAAACAATTTTTTGCATGCCTTTCTTATTGCCAGAGTACCATCTTAAGGAACGTGCAGTAGCAGGCAGCATCTTCTTAATGTCTGACCTATCCCTCCAGTCATACAGTCAGAATCTGGTGCCATGAATTTTTGCTAAATTATGCTATCCTTGCTCTCCCCTCTTAATTTTACGGTTTTCAACACAGATTTGCTTTCCTGTGAGAAGGAGATAAGAAGCCAAGGATTTTAATTTAAGCTCTGGCCTTGTCTTATATTTTTGCAAGATGGATAGCCTACTAGTAGTGTGTTAAAGCCAACAAGGATTATGTCCATTTTTGTGGCCAAATAATAAAAGCAATATGAAATCTCAATAATATGTGTGAACGTAATTCTAAGGTTTATGTCTGGCTCCTGCCGGCCACCTGCTCTATGCATATAAACAGAACCAACCTATACTGCCCATCGCCATCATGGTCAAGTGTCATCGACCCTAAACTGTGGGCTTCCTCTGATGGCACAAGGTACATGTACACATAAGGCAAGAACCAGGCATTGCCACTTTGGCTGAGTTTTAAGACAAGCAATATAACCATTTTTAATTCCAGTCCTCAGATCTCCAAATAACAATGTGGTGGATATTGGGGTGGGGCAAAGGAGGAGGAGGAGGAATAACCAAGTGACTACCTAGTCTTTACAGCCAAATATATGTAACTACATTATAATGTATGGTTACACATGTGTATGTGGGCCTACGTGTATATTTAAGCATCTAAAATGTGGCAAGCACTCTTTTAGGACTGACGGGCGACACAGACAAGGTCCCTATTCTCATGCACCTTCCTTTCTAGGGGCCTTGAAGTGGGGGTGTGGGTACTGGTGAGAACAAACAACTATGCAAACAACAAAACAACAACAAACAAAACCTGAGAAGATGACATAGAATATTATTTTAAAAAGAAACCCGGTGATATGAGAGACAGTGTGTGGCTAATTACATGCCTTAGTATCACGTTCATGCTAAAAGGAACCAGCAGTTTAAAACTACATAGTCCAAGATCCTTATTTTTTAAAACAGGAAAGAGAGGTCACCAGGGAATGGCTGATCAAGCCACTACCACTTTCAGCACTTTCAGCAGCACGCGGCTGCTCCCACACGGCTCCAGCAACACAGGGTCGCTGTGAGCGCAGTGCAGGTGGAAACCCCTGAGTCACTCAATACAGTGGGACCGAGTAGTAGAGAAATTCCGTCTTTTTAGTTCCTGCTCTGTGCACCTAGGATCTCACTTAATGAAACCCAAGTCTCCAGACTCGCACTCTGGGTCTTTCCCCACTCTGTATCTCCCTAACGGGAGGCAGAAAAAAAGGGTAAAAATTGCTTCGATTCTTTTTCATTCATACGTAGAGTCAGGTAAGTTTTAGCTTCTGGTGGAGAAGCACCAGGAATTCCCAATGTTTGCCCTTTTTTTCATTTTCCCAGGGTAGCAGCAAGCACAATTGCCACGCCTCTGTGAGATTTCCACAGAGCTTCCAAAGCTTTCTCTGTGAGAAGCTTTGTGTCATCTAAAAAGCTCCAATGCTGCTCAAAGCAGTACAGGAACTTAGGTCTGAGCTCACAGGGCGGTAAGTGGCTGAGTCAGGCCACAGACCCTGATCTTTTGATTCTAACTCTACCACACACTCTTCAGTCTCAGGCAGGTGACTGGTCAGGTGTGCAGAGGAAAATCACAAAGATGGAAAGAGTGGGTGCCGGGAAAGGGGTGTAAAACATCAAAGGTTGGCTCTAGAAGACAGCTTTCCCACCTACACTCAGCACCCACACGTCCAGTAAGAGGCCTGTAAGCCTTTCCCAAACTTGAAACTCCCCCATCAGGACATCCTACCCACAAAGCACATCATTATTACAGCAACTGACAACCACCAAGTACTTTAGAGTACCTTTGAGGCAGGAAAACTGAGGCATGGAGAAGTTAAACAACTTTCCCAAGGGTATAGAGCAAGTAAATGGCAAAGCCAGGATTCAAATTCAGGAAGTCTGGGTCTAGAGGCCATATTCATTACCAGTACAGCACGCGGCCTTCCTGAAGAGCCAAGTTCATAAAACCTCGGACATTGAGCTGACCACCTGGGCCATACCTAAGAGGATGTGCATCCATGAAGTGACTGCGTGGTCTCTGTCCCGAGCCCAGGAACCACCTCAGACAAACAGGCACCTCAGCAGAAGCAGTCAGACCTGCAAAGACTCGACTGCCACCTTTCTCCCCTCGTCTGGCAAGCAGCCCCCGGAAGCCTGTGTGGCTGCCCCCCAGGCTGCTCCCTGCAGGTATGGACCTCTGTGGCATCACAGTCCCCAAAAAGCCGCCCCTTCTGAGGACACAAAGTGGGTGCCGCGTAGGGATCCTGAGAGTCCCCCTCACAGCAGCGTTCCCAGAAATGATCCACTCTCCCGCTGGCAGTAACTCACGCTGTCATGAAAGCTGTCAGCCTCTGAGGGTGTGGTTCTTTCTGGGAAGGACTAAAAAGCGGTTCAGTTCCCACCTGACTAAGGCGTGGGCCCGCTGTGCTGCGTGGAGTAACTGGAGGAGGAACCTGCTGGCCTGATAGCTGGTCCCCGTGTTGCACACCCCCCGACTTCCACTAGAGCCAGAGCACAGGATCCAGCTGCACATAAAGGTCCTGAGCTCCATTATCAATTGGCTGTATATTTTATCAATAGTCCTCCAGGTAATAGCTGAATCCAGGGCAATTTTAACACTTCACCAACTTACTGAGAAGAGGAATGTCATCGGGCCTCAATCATTACGGTGGCATTTAACTTTTCACCAAATTC